ATTATGGTAGTCGCCTCACTTAAATAATGTCATAATTATGATGGATACGCGGCGTCACACACTTAAACGCTTCCCTTTCGTTTCATTAAAAAATATTTGAGATTCACGAGCACATTCACATATTTCTCTTTTAAAAAGAACCATTGGCACCCATTATAAACACAGTCTATACATAATTTAGTTATCTGTCAAAATTCTAAGAACAGTACCATAAGGAAAACTTAAAGTTTCTCATATCGCTCTAACCGACTAATTGTCTCTCTTTTGGACAACGTCATACACCATTTCAAGAACGTTTCCACCCGACCTCCCTTTTTCGGTCTTTCTGTCCTCTGTTGATCATTCAGTGACCCATGACCTGCTAAAAATCGCTGAAATCATCTATTAACAAATCTCTTATTTACATTCTATCCTCTGTGTGTCTGATTATCATCGTAACTGTTCTAAAGGAGACTTCCCCATTTTGAAGTAAAAACGCATAACAGATCGTTGCAGCGGTTTCTCTCCATTTCGACATTTCTTTTGTTCACTCCAGCAGATTAAAACAAAAATGTTTATGATCAAAAAGTAATGACGTCATTTTATTTTCAACTTAAGACTAGAAAATGTCGTAAAATTTTGTCTTTTAAAATATTGGGAGATTAGATGTTTTTTTTAAAATGCTTGTTAATGTATTTGTCATTTTTCACTCTAACAATTTACAATTTAAAACGTGACGTTTAGTTGCGACGCGGCGACACCCCTTATGAATAATATTTTAAACGTCTATAAAATTAATTCAAGTAAACATTATTCAATGAAATTTCTAATTTTGATTAGATTTAGTTTTATGCATTTTTTGGAATATATTATTTGATAATATGACGCCAAATATTAAAGATATTGACACAGTGACATTACTTTTGGATCAACCCTCGTAATTGTCAAAAGGAGCAAAGAAATGCCTTGATTTCTCCTTCGAAAATGCGATCTACCCAATAGATTTAAAGTATTAAGATGTTTGAAAAAAGTTTTTTTTTTTTTTTTTTTTTTTTTTTTTTTTTTTTTTTTTTTTTTTTTGTTTTCAAAAAACAAAGGTTATTAAGGAATATTAACTTCTATGTTATATGTATCTTTTAAAATATCACAATTAGAAAATTATTCAAAGACGAGAACAATACAACGGTTTCAAGAACATCTAATATTCAGTTCAAAGCACTTTACTAGTTCAAAATTGAATACTAAATTATAGACTATAATCCAAACTTATGCTAACAGGGATGATTAATAGCAGCACAACATTGCAAACAGAATTATGCTTTACCAATTAAGTGTACAAATAAAACCTTATTAAATTCAAGACCTTTAGGCCATTTTTGGCTTCTCTGCTAGATGTTAAATTGGATATCACTGTAAGTTTAAGTGTGAACAGAATTAATTGCAATTTTAAAAAAAAATAACATAATTGAGTGTAGTTGAGTACTCGTTAATAAATGAGGCGGATTATTTATGTAATAAATTCAGAAAAGTGCACAACTGGTACATGTCCTTATTTAGGGAAGTGATCGCTTAGTTTCATTATTGATATCCATAATATGAGACAATACAATTGAATATCATTATCTTAAGGGAGTTGCTTCCTGATAGGGAGGTCGAGAGTAGCCTTATTCGGAAAAAAAGAAAGAAAATGTTTCTTTGCCACTCCGGAACTTTGAAGCGAAAGTTGCAGGTGAGAGTTTAAAAACCGAGGCCCGGTGTAACGGCAGACGTTGGCACTATCAAGACTCCTAGCTGCTTGAGGGTCCTGAGTGCCGAGCAAAGGTATTTGAAAACATTTGAATCCTTATACCGAAATATAGTGACGAGTCTTTATGAATAAAATTTTCTCAGATTGGACGTAAAACAACATTTATCAATAAATTAATCTTTGATTTTTTACAGACATTCTTACCTTTTATCTCAAATTATAATCATGGTCACATCGAATTTAAAATATCAGATATGTCTTAATGTTCATCAAAGCGCCATGTTGTGTCAGATCACTTTGATATCCATTATTGGTTAGGTTGATATCCTCAACAAAAACGAATGAGGCAAAGGGTCTTTAAAAATTAGTTCACATCTCTCTAAGACATGTGTTTACCAATCTAATATCTTCACAAAAATTATGTGCACGAGACACCAGGGGTTCATTTTAGTTTTTAAGTTTTTCAGGCTATTTTTAGTAACATTTCAAGAAGGGTTAAACTACTGTAGATCACTAAATTTTTGCGACACATTAATTTTGCGAGATTGTCATCGACTCTTTATTAGCAAGACATAATTTTCACGAATTTTAGTTTTTCCTCTATGTAATCATAAGGAATACTTTAAAACGCGAGAATGAAATTTTTGCGAGCTCAATGTCTCGGGTAATTACTCGAAAATTATGTTTTCGCGAATAAAATGTGATTTACAGTACCTGGTTCATTACCTGCTTCGACTTTTTTTTAATTATGGCATTTTCGAATATAATTTATTTAACGCTTGTTTTTAAAGGCTACAAAATCATGATGTAAATTTTATCAAAGATTTTTTGAAACCTATATTTAAAATAATATCACAAATATAAATGCTTTCATCTTAATAGTATATTATCTCTATAATTTCTGTTAAAAATGTTTGAGTGCTAAGAGATAAACAGTAACATCTATTTTGTTACCACTTAATTAACTGCAAGTATGATTGATGTCTCTATATTTACATGTACTTTTAATATTATGGATTTACTATCTGAAGATATATAGGTTGCATAAAACGATCAGATAGTATTAAAAAGAATTTCGTTAATCTTAAATACGTACGATAAAATTTATAAAATATTTTTCCAGGCCTGATATTGAAGGTCATTGTCTAAGATATCAAACTTAACTTTTTTTCGAAAAATCCGTGTGAAAAAATGTTTAAATATAGTGTCATCTTATTCTATTGCTTGGACATCTTTCGAAAGTTCTCCAGTCCTTGTCTCTTTGACGGACAATTCATAAGACACATTTCTTTAGAAAACACCCATCCAATCGGTGGACAAGAATTCTACTCAAAATCTATCAAAAACAGGAGTCGAGCAGAATGTGCCATGCAATGTCTTCAGCTTAGGTCATCATGTGTCGGACTTGTGTATAGCGAAATGCGCTCCGTTTGTTATCTTTTGAAATCTGGTTTTAATGAAAAAGTGTTAGACGTACAGGCAAAGTCATCTTCTTGGGAGTACTGGTTCAAATATTATGGTACAGGTAAGTTACTTGCACCCGTGTCAGGTTTGTTTATATGACAATGTTTGTTTGCAGAATTTACGTCTATAGAAAAATTCACATATATAGAGACGCCAACACTTTTCGGGGGAGGATTGCAAAGAATGAGTGCACTAAATTCCGTCGTCTTGCACCTTTTCACTTACCCAGTTTAAGTGAAACATTACATATAAAATTCCTGAAATTCCGGAAATTTGAACGGGACCACTTTGGAATCTGAGGTATCCGCAAATAGGCGGAGAAATTTTAATCGCATGATTGTGAAATGTAAATATGTTAGCAAATTAGATATTTTAGCACTACGAATTTAATGGAGAAGAGACAGAGATCATGTGATTTTACGGTGCAAAATTAATAACTGATTCTAATATTTAGCGATGGGGTAAATGCGTAGCCCTGAAGACCATAATACAGAGGCAACATAAGCCTGAACATGTAATTACTAATTACAATGTCAATACCATAATTCTTTCAAAACACCCCTAATTAAGGTCAGACGACACGTTCCTCAAAGAGTATGTTTTGTATCTCTTGGCATTATATCAACAACATTCCAATTCCCCATTCACTTCTGATTTCTATATCGTTTTCAAATTTTTTTTAAATATTAGTAAACAAAAAAATGTGATATAGGCCATTTAGAAGATAACTGATAAGGTTTATATTAGAGTTATGTAAGAAATATGACTTGTGGTATCTTGTCCAAATGCTTGGTAAGCTTTAAGGTACCTTATTTTTTTGTGAGGAAACTTGTTTAAGTACCTATACTTCAATGACAAATTCTTAGGAAAAATTATATATTTTTGATGAAGGTGTCGTCTGACCTTGAATGCAAAAAGAGTCATTTTATTTTCAAACCCTATTAAAATTTGCAAAGAAATCTCCCATAGTTTGAAGTTGGAAGTACGATAAATAAAGTCATAACAGAATTTTAAACACAATGAAATATATGGAAAGCCGTAGGGTACCCCCACATTATTATTATTTTTTCCTATATAATTATACCAAAAATAATTATGTCATCCAAACTTGCTTTTTACAACATTATTATTATTTTCCTGCAAAAATTATAATCTTGTCTGTTAAAAGTGTACACATTATTATTATTGTGTCCTACAATTATAATGATTCACTTCACAATAATTAATCTTGCCAGTCAATATGTAGACACATTATTATAATTTTTCGCCTCATGATTATAATCTTGTCAGTCGATGTGTACACATTATTATTATTTTGTCCTACAATTATAATGATCCAAACTTTACAATAATAATTTTGCCAGTCAATGTGGACACATTATTATAATTTTTCGCCTCATGATTATAATCTTGTCAGTCGATGTTTAAAAACATTATTTTTATTTCACCTCAAAATTATAATAATAATTCTTACTTTTAACAATTATAATCATGTTTGCCCAAGCGAACACATTATTTTTATTTCGCTTCAATTTCATGCCAATTTTATTCCACATCGATCATACAATTATAATCTGTCTTACTCCAACAATAATAATCGCGACCAAAAAATTTGCAACATTATTATTATTTAGACGCTTGAAATCAAACGTTTCTGTGATTTTGATGTACTGAACAATTATAATCTTGTCAGATTTTCTTTGGGAAAGATTATTATTATTTGGACGCTTGAAAAAGTAAACGTTTGTCTGCCGAAGACAATCACGTGGTTTAAGGCCATGTGCTTCCCTAGTATCAACAGTGCCGAGGACGGCGCCAGTGAAAGGCAGGCGGTTTGCCGGTAAGTAAAGATGATTTTGTTATATTAATGTACAAGGAAGTGAATTCCATTCATTCGATAAAGGAAATGTCACAGAAATCAGCTGTCAGTATGCTGTTATTAAACGACAGCTTCGGAAGAACTAGTTCGAATTATCTCTGTACTTTTGTATAGGAGATTGCATCAATGCATGCCATTGCATTGTGAATTAATGTTCCATATGTAGATAAAGTGGCGTTAATTTGAATGATATAGTGTATATATTTACTAACAGATATTTTTTAGTTTACTAATAGCTTGTACTTTACAGTTTTAACTTGAATTTTCTCTGAAGTAAGTTATTTATATTGAGATCTATTGTTATTTACATTGCGACTTGGGTCAGTTGAGTTGCCCATATAAGACTGTTTGCTCTACAGTTGCAAAGTTAAGAGTTGATCCTTATGTCGTGGGTTCGATTCCCATTGTGGGACATGGAGACCAGTCCTTCATATGCAATTTACTATATACAATGAATGCACAATATTGATGGAGCTGAAAAGATTTGTCTGTACTCTGCACCCAGTAAAAGACAAAGTGTGCGATGATAGGTACACGTCACAGCAGGTGTGTGACATATACCATGTGATCAGAGGTAGCAGGGCAATCCGTGGCTAGCACTTCCAGGACTACTACATTCAGATAAAATGGTATAAACCGAGGTCCTGTATCACAGTAGGTACTGGCACAAAAAAGGCCCCTCACTGCTCAATGGCCAATTTGGCCATAATTGCTGAGTATAGAATAGATTTAAAGCTCTCCACCAGCAAATGGTGGCGTCTCCATATGAATGAAAAATTCTTGAGAGGGACATTAAACAACATAAAAACAAACAAAAAACATTAAGGCCAAGCTTAAAAAATTTTTGTTTGCAGTTGCCGACCTATAATTTTTAGTCTGGGTAGGTAGGTAGGCAATATATATATATTTTTTTAAATTGTTTCCAGATTTTTGTTAGATAACATAAAATAGAGTTTTTCACAGGCCTACTATACATGAATAAGCTGCACTCTTGGTATAATGTCAGATTGATGAAGATTAAAATTGAAAATGAAACAGTTTTAATATCCTGAAAAATTGGAGAAAAAAAAAATTTCAAAATGGCTAAAAAAAGTTTGGGTCGGGTGCATTTTCAGTGGGTCAGTCGGCAACTGCAAACAAACAATATTTTATTTTAGGCCTAAGTTAAAAGTCTGACTATTGATAAATTGTCTTGATTGGCTGATTTTATCTATGATTGGATGAAAACAATTTTTATGAAATAACTGTAATGTTGCAGATTATGCACAAGTTGAAGAAAGGAGATGCTGTGGGATGGTAAAAAAAGTTCCAGATAATGGACAACCTTTTCCATTTATTTTAAAGGGGTATGAACATTGCATATTTACTGTAAAATCACAAATTTTCGTGGAGGTTTAATTTTCGTTGTTTTTGAGGTGTGGAGAGACCCACAAATTCATGTCCACCACAAAATGTAAAGTGTTACATATAAAACTACTCAACAATTCTTCAGACACAAAATCAAATTCCCAGGATCCAAATTTTTTTCTGAAACCATGAAAGTTTGAACACACGAAAATATGTGATTTTACAGTAAGTATGTTCACCTCTGGGTCAATCTAATTAAAGTTAAATGTTAAATCTGCTCACATACTTGCTACTCTAACATCTAACAATATCACATGGAGGGTCACATTTAAGGTCAAATTCGTAACAACTGTAGACTTATTCCTTTGAACAAATATTCAATGATTTTGCAGGCAACAATTTGATTGGATGATAGAATCTGACCTCTGACTTGACCCTCTGTGAGATGTTGTTACTGGATATTAGTGTAGCAAGTATGCGAGCGGATCTAATGCCTCTGGGTGGTTTTTTTTTAAATTCACAGCTTTTAAGAGTTATATAGATAATAGATTCTAAATTTGAGAATTTCTACATTTTTTACTCAATCATCTGTCACCATGAGAAATACAAATTATGCTCTAGTTTTTAAAGAATTATTTGCTCATTTAATTTCAGGAGCAACAAAGAGTCTTGACTTTTATAGGGGTGCAGATTTTAAAGAAAGAAAACTGTGTTGTAAAGAAAGAAGATTTTCCATCAAATAATGGTGGATGACAAAGGTAAAGAGGACAGTAATGATTAGAAAGAATTAATTATTTAACACAGGGGCAGATTTTTTGTTGCAGTTTGTAAATGCTATTCAAAATGTTTAGCATAAATTTTTATTAAAATATCATGATGGATGTTCATGCAACTAAAAGCTCTTATCAATGTTTATAGTTTAAGCATATGAAGATTAATCAAAGTCTCTTGAATAGTTTCTTTAAAACTAAGCTTTACTCACTAATTTAAAGAAAGGTCAAGGTCAAAAGAAAGGTCAAATAAAATAATGATTATGAAATTGAATAGATTCCATCAGTATGTATCTGGCACTATCTGCATATATATAAGGTTCGATAAAAATATCTGAAACAACTCTTGAAACCGAACTTTACATAATTTAACAAAAATTAATGTCAAGGTCAGAAATAAGAAACTCTTATTAATAAAATATATGTATCAGCATATGAAGTTCAAAGTGTGATGGAAGGACAGTAGGACATGTTATTAAGATTAAGTAAACCTCATTACAAATGTTTATGCTAAGGTGAAGCCACAATATTAGGTCATTTTTCATTGAAAAAAGGAACATTTTTTAAAATTCTGTGGAACACTAGAACCAATTGACCTAGGTGAGCATTGTGGCCCATGGGCCTCTAGTTATGTGTTATTTAATTCATCATGAATCTGGTGGTATAATGATTTTTTATATTTCAGTTCTTCCTATGAATGATGTCATAACCCACTTTGAAAAAAAAGTTTGTTGGAGAGAAAAGGATCTGAAGAGGGAGAAAGAATTGTTTATATTCAGATGGATTTATAGACTGTTAGACCTTTTGCTGTCACTTAATTCTGTACTATTAGTTCTGCAACACTGAGCCTATAAGCTTTTGACTTGACGGTTTATCTTATTTGAGAGAGCATAGTCCATTTTTTAGGCATTTCAAGATTAACAATGCAGAATATGTACATATGTAATGGCAGGTAAAAATCCCACACAAACAGGACACTGATAAGACTGGAATTTAGAGATATTTCATTTCTCTCTTGTGTGAATTAAAAAAAATTAATGCCAGAAACAATATAATAAATTAATAACTTAGTCTTGTTTTGTGCTTATACTTTTATGCCCCCATAAATGAAGTTTGGAGGGTATACAGCAAAACTCGCTTAGTACGAACACGGATATTGCGAATTTACGGATAAAGCGGAGTCATCTTGGATCCCCAGCTATATAAATTTAATGAATTTCTTGTATGATTATAACGAATTACGGATATAGCGAAGTAATTTCATAGGTCCCTGTGACTTCGTTATAATGGAGTTTTGCTGTATAGTTTTTGTCATGTCCATCTGTCTGTCTGTTTATCTGCAAAAGCTTTAACCTTGCCTATACCTTTTGATTTTATTAGTGGAGCTATGACTTTCATATTTCACATATGTATTCTTTGTATTAAGACCTTTCGTTGGAAACCACCAACTTTGACCTTTTGACCTTGGAGATTTACATACTAATAAAAACAACGCAAAGATTAAACTTTTCTCAAATGCAAATTGAATTAATTGGTACCAAAAGTAAGGTATTCTCACTGGAAAACAATTGTGAAATTTGAAAGTAGTCCAATGTAAAAGTACTTTCAATAAGTACAAATATTTCCTAGGTCAAAAGGTCAAGGTAATTGATATCAAATGAAAGGTCTTGCCACATAGGATACTTATGTAGAGTATGGAAGCCCTAGCTCTAACCATTCAGAAGTTATAGCCAAGGTTGAAAATTTTTGAAAGTAGGTCAAACTTTAAGGTCAAGGTCAAAGTTCTTGTTTTCAAATGAAAGGTCTTGTCACAAGGATTAAATACGTAAAGTATGGAAGCACCAGCCCTAACCCTTTAAAAGTTATGGTCAAGGATTGCTTTTTTAAAGTAGGTCAAACTTAAAGGTTAAAGTCAAAGGGTCAAAATGCTTGGTATCCAATGAAAGATCTTCTCACAAGGAGTACGTATATGAGGTATGAAAGCCCTGTCCCTTACCATTCAAAAGTTATAGCCAAGGCTAAAGTTTTTTTTCACAGGTACGGAAATATACAAGGTCAAAGGGTCAAGGTTCCAGGTATCCAATGAAAGGTTTTTTGACAAAAATACATATGTAAAGTATAAATGTCCTGGTATCTACTGTTAAAAAAATATGGCCAAAGTAAAAGTTAAAAATTTTCATGTAAAAGTGGGTCAAACTCCAAGGTCAAAAGGTCACATTTGGTGGTACCCAAAGAAAGGTCTTGTCACAAGAAATACACGTGAAATATGAAAGTTATGGCTCTACCAAATCAAAGTTATGGGCAAGGTTAAAGTTTTTGCGGACAAACAGACAGACGGACACGACAAATACTATATACCCCCAAAACTTCGTAAAAAACTTTAACATTGGAAATAACTTTTGAATTGCAAGGGGTAGAGCTTTCATACTTCACACATGTAATCTTTATGAGAAGACCCTTCACTGGATACCAAGAGCTTTGACTTTGACCTTGGAGTTTGACCTGCTTTAAAAAAACAAACCTTGACAAAATATATTAAAGGGTACAAGCTATTGCTTTCATACTTTAGTTTTTTAATCCTTGTGACAAGACCTATCATTTGATACCTAGACCTTTGACCTTGACCTCAGAGTTTGACTTATTTTTTAAAAAGATGTAACCAATTAAATTTTTAAACGGTTAGGGCTAGAGCTTCAATACTTCACATGTGTACTTTGTGGCAGGATCATTTATTGGATACCAATAACTTTGACCTTGGAGATTTCCTGACTTGTGAAAAAACTTGAACCTTAGCAATAACTAATAAATGGTAATAGGGCTAGGGATTCTATACTTCACATATTTATTTTCTGTGGCAAGTCCTTTTATTGGATACCAAAACCTTGACCTTTTGACCTTGACATTCCAGGACTTATGAAAAAACATTAACCTTGGCAATAACTTTTGAAGAGTAAGGGCTAGGGCTTTTATACTTCCCATATGTAATTTTTGTAACAAGACCTTTCATTCAATACCAATAACCTTGAGCTTCTGACCTTGATCTTGAAGATTTATGTACTTATGAAATTTTTTTTTGCCTGGTCATAACTTGGGAACAGATGTTGATAGGGTTTTCATGTTTCACAATTGTATTTCCAGTTTGGAGACCCTACTTTGGGTAACAATATATTAAATTTGCATTTAAGAGAAGCTTAATTTTCACTATGTTGCCATACCGGGGCATCAGTGTTTCACAAACACATCTTGTTTGGAAATCTACTTGCATTCAAATTTTTTTAATACTAGATTTGAGTGTGAATTCCCTCTCAAGGTCAAGTACATGTATATGAATGTACTGTGTAACTCATTAAAAGTCATGTGTATACAGTTTACATATTTACAGACATAAATATGAAGCCCACTATTTTAAGTACACATACAGTATATAGGCCATATAGTAGCTCCCATATTTTGAACATGTATTTCCAATGTTGGTGAACAATATTTGGGTCTACAATTATCACATGTATATGACAGAGCTCCAACTTTTCCAACATGCCTTCCATTATATGTTTGTCATTCAAGTCCAAAAGAACACCAGAAAAAATCACTATTTAATATCCATTCAATAACACATCATTACCAGACAACTTAAATAAAATGTGCAAATTACTTTCAGGAATATTTTTTTTAAATCTCATTGCAAAATATTCAAATAGAAAATGCCTCAATATTTTGGTAAATATATATAATATACAGATTTACAAGAGGCTCAGGGACCAACTGGTTCACCTATGCAATGTGGCTAAGAAAAAAGCAAAAATCAGATTAGTATTGAAAAACTTAAATGCATAAATGGTCCTGACATACCCCTAAAAGGGAGGGGTATGATTTGACAAAATTGAACGTACACTAAATAAGGATGTTTATATATTTTTGACTGTGGCCTTTTTCCCTAAAAGTTTGAACTCTCAGTGTGGCCCCACTCTACATCCAGGGGGTCATGATATGTACAAACTTGAATCTACCCTATCTGACAATGATACCACATGAGTATTCACCTTTCTTGGCCCAATGGTTAAATAGAGTATCAAATGTAAATATTTCAATAATGAAAATGTATCAAAAATGCATCATTTCAAATGAAGTGTTAAATAATGTTAAAAAGACAAAGTTCATGGAACAGGAACAACACATGCAATCTTTCATCAAGAATACTCTGAAATTTGACAAGACTCTTTTTTCTTCCAAGTTATTCACATTGCACATTTTTGTCCAGACCGGCACACTCTTCTAAGGAGATTTCTCTGATATATTTATCATGGCTGTGTTTTCCTTATCATCCAACTGCCAGATTTTCGTCCATAGGTCTAAAACTTATGATGTGCTCAAAGTCTATCAGGGTGAAGTTCAAACACCAACATAAAATTTATGGTTCCTGAACCCTGAAAAATAACATTAAAAACACAAGAGTCTTTATAATTATCACTGACACACATAATCATGGGAAAACTTGGTAGGGTAGAGCAGTTTTTTCATGATACGTATGACAAGTGGAGGGCTCCCAATGTGACAGCAATCTGGGTTTTTCTTGTGTGAACAGACTTGGCATAAAATTCTTACATGAATAAAAAATGTACATTTGCAAGAGTTGTTTCCCTTTATCAAAAAAAAAAACCCTCCCTATTTTCTCACAATATCCTTTGTAACTTGCATGAATTTAAAAAAAATATTTAGACTTCTTTTGACAATTTCATAACGGCAAAGTATGGGGCGACAAAAAAGCCCTTGCAAAATGAACATACACTAGGATATTTTGCACAGAAATGACAAAGGTCAAATAAAGACCCATGGGTCATATTGCTCACCTTAGCTCTTTGGCTTTCAGTATTGAAAAGTAATAATTCCTACTGGGCCCAAACTAATCCTAAGGGGAGGGGAAGCAGGCATGATTTGAACAAGCTTAAATCTATACCAACTGATGATGCTTTCTATTTCTTTGACTAATCATGGCCTTAGAAGATTTCTAATGATCTTTCCTTTGTATTTTTGTGTAAAACTTTGATTTCCATTGTGGCCCCATCCTTAACCTGGGGAGATCATTATGTACGATAAACAGATGCCAGACACTTCTTAGTCGGAAAAGTTTACTTGAGCCTTATGCCCTTTTCACATGGAGAGTTTAATTCACAGTAAATTAATGAGAAGTAAAATAATGCGTATTTAATTGTGTTCACACGACAGCTAAAGCAAAGTAAACTTATGCAAATCAAAATTTTATTTCTACATTAGGGAGATCAGCAATGTTATTATGACGTCATTTGTTATTCACATCATGTGTACCGCGCAGATTCAATTGACATAAAAATCATAGTGTTTTTTATACAATTTAGTGATTAACATATTTTTCCTTTATTTTTCCTTAAAACCTAGCACTGATATCTAAATCTAACTATTGACATGGGGCTTATGCCTTAATTCAGGCCTTACGCATGAGTCAAAATTTAATTTGAATTAGCTTCGCTTAGCGTTCACACGGAGCTAATGCGAAGTAATTTAATGCGCAGTTAATTAATTCAAATTAAACTTTTTCACATAAAACTTTCCGTGTGAATGATGTTCAAATTTAATTTACAGTAACTTACATTTGATTAAACAATGAAATGCTTTCTTTGTTTGTTATTTAAACAATAAAATGCTTTCTTTGTTTGTTATTACTGGAATGAAAGGAAGCAGCTGTTGCAGAAAAAATACATAACCCGCGTAAGCGGGTTATGTAAATTTTTTCTGCAATAGCTGCGACCATTCATTCCAGTAATAACAAACAAAGAAAGACATTTTTTTGTTTATATTTATATCTGTTTAAATAATCAGTTAAAGTAGGATTAAAAAGATTAATTATTGTATTAATGATGCGAACGTCTTTATATGTTTCGTTGATGGAACAGCCACTGATTAAGAAATCTGTACAGGCGACATGCCTACTGTAGTTTATGCAGTGATGAACGCAATGGGGTTTCTTAAGAAAGAAAGGAGAAAATATTCAGTGGATGTAAATATTTCGAATTAAACTCTCTGTGTGAACAGGGCATTAGACTCAGGTAAGCTAAATTGCAAATAATTATTTATAAAGTAGATGACTGTTCTAAACATACCAATATATTTCTGCAGAATGAATAAAAATATAAATCTCAATGTAAAACTTTCTGAGTATCCATTACATTTTCTTAAACCCCCTACCCCCCAGGATAAATCTGCCACTGTTATAAATATATAATTCCTTAATTCTTTCTAACCACTTTTGTTCTTTTTACCTCTGTGTCATCTGCAATCTTTTTCTTTCTTTATAACACTGTTTTCTTTCTTTAAAACCTGCATGCCTCTAAAAATCAAGACTCTTTGTTGCTCCTAAAATTAAATGTAGTCATGTGCAAATAATTCTTTAAAAACTAAAGCATATTTTCTATTTCTCATGGTGACTGAAGATTGAACAAAAAATGTAGAATTTCAATATTTTCTGAAATGTTTCATATTAAGAATTTGTCAATTGACTCTTTTAATGGCAGCTGTGACTTGAAAAACAGAATATTGAAAATTGTTTTTTTTATCATTGAGCAGGTGAGCTAAAAACAAATCCAATACATGAGTTATTCCTGGTTGTGTTTATATACTAAGTGATTTATTGTGCAGTTTATTGAACACACCCAGTAAATTTTAACAATAACATCGCTCTTGATAACAAACATAGGGTCGCCCATTTGGAGCAGTGGTTAAAGCTTTTGCTCTTAGAGTTGCAGAGAAAGGAGTTGATCATTATCTTTTGGGTTCAAATCCCACTTTGGGATGTGGAGACAGGTCTTTTGGACGAAACCATATAAATCAAGGTCCCATGTCACAGTAGGTGCTGGCACAAAAAAGATCCCTCACTGTTCAATAGCCCTGAGTGCCGAGTATTAGTCAAAACTTGAAGCTCTCTACTTACAGGTGGTGGTGTCTCCATATGAGTGAAAAAGTCTCGACAGGGACGTTAAACCATGCACGGATCTAGAGGGGGGAGGGAGGACCCCCCATGGAATTTGCAAAGTTTTCAAATTTATATACTAAAGCAAGAAAAAAGCTACCTTGGACTCTCCCTCGGAAAACGAAGAACTCCCTGGTAAATGCGAATTTTTGTTAAATTGGTATGTAAATATGAAAATTCCAAAGATAGAAGTCTTCAACTACCCCCCCCCCCCCCAACACAAAATAGGTTTTTGAAGTTTGGGCGAGTCTACATGTTACATGGACCCCCCCCCCCCCGGAGAATGTCTATCTGTGCCTGTGTTAAACAACAAACATGCATAGAAGTTTGCAGTCATATTAAGAGAAAAGTTTTGGTCCAATAATAGATAACTTAATAAAATCAGGAAATCAAGACAAATCAATATATGAAATCATCAATAGTCGTTTATCAGAGTTTCTAATAACAGTAAGAATCAACCGACATTCAACGTAAATGGCTTATTGCAGAGAAAATTCAAGCTAATCTGTAAAATACAAGCATATACTGTTCGTAAAGATATATCATTCAACTTTACGCCACTTTATCTGGATTTGGAACATAAATTCACAATGCAATGGCATGCATTGATGCAATCTCAATCTCCTATACAAAAGTACAGAGATAATTCGAACTAGTTCTTCCGAAGCTGTCGTTTAATAACAGCATACTGACAGCTGATTTCTGTGACATTTCCTTTATCGAATGAATGGAATTCACTTCCTTGTACATTAATATAACAAAATCATCTTTACTTACCGGCAAACCGCCTGCCTTTTACTGGCGCCGTCCTCGGCACTGTTGATACTAGGGAAGCACATGGCCTTAAACCACGTGATTGTCTTCGGCAGACAAACGTTTACTTTTTCAAGCGTCCAAATAATAATAATCTTTCCCAAAGAAAATCTGACAAGATTATAATTGTTCAGTACATCAAAATCACAGAAACGTTTGATTTCAAGCGTCTAAATAATAATAATGATGCAAATTTTTTGGTCGCGATTATTATTGTTGGAGTGAGACAGATTATAATTGTATGATCGATGTGGAATAAAATTGGCATGAAATTGAAGCGAAATAAAAATAATGTGTTCGCTTGGGCAAACATGATTATAATTGTTAAAAGTAAGAATAATTATTATAATTTTGAGGTGAAATAAAAATAATGTTTTTAAACATCGACTGACAAGATTATAATCATGAGGCGAAAAATTATAATAATGTGTCCACATTGACTGGCAAAATTATTATTGTAAAGTTTGGATCATTATAATTGTAGGACAAAATAACAATAATGTGTACACATCGACTGACAAGATTATAATCATGAGGCGAAAAATTATAATAATGTGTCTACATATTGACTGGCAAGATTAATTATTGTGAAGTGAATCATTATAATTGTAGGACACAATAATAATAATGTGTACACTTTTAACAGACAAGATTATAATTTTTGCAGGAAAATAATAATAATGTTGTAAAAAGCAAGTTTGGATGACATAATTATTTTTGGTATAATTATATAGGAAAAAATAATAATAATGTGGGGGTACCCTACGGCTTTCCATAGAGCAGCAACTTGGCCAACGTTGTTCTTTGGATATGTAGAAGTTTAAATTAAAATACATATTCTGTGCAAATGAGACCGATGGCCAAATTGCGGTTCGATGTAAACAATCTCGTTGAAAACTAGTATATATATGAATAACAATAGAAGTATGACAAAACTGTAAGATTCCCGTCGCAAAAGCTAGTGTCGTATGGCATTATCTTATAATTTCATGTAATATAATATACCAAAACCTCCTCTTAAGACATTGTTTAATACCTATTAAACATAAATTTAATGAATTTTGGAAATTCATTTTCCGCAAAACATCGTGATCCAACTCTCATAGCTTAAGTGCAGCTATTCTTCTTTAATCCTGTGCTCGACATTCAGAGCCATTGCGAAATGAGGTATATCTATAAAATGTTAAGATCCTTCAATTATGATCGATTTGATTAAACATTCTTTTAAGAAAATAAACTTTTCTGGTTATTAGTCATTCAAAACTACAGAGGTTGGTCTGCATAAGCAAAAGGATATGATGTATATATTTACTTTTTTTTAATGTAAGTACGTATGGAAAGCCGTAGGGTACCCCTACATTATTATTATTTTTTCCTATATAATATACCAAAAATAATTATCTCATCCAAACTTGCTTTTTACAACATTATTATTATTTTCCTGCAACAATTATAATCTTGTCTGTTAAATGTGTATACATTATTATTATTTTGTCCTACAATTATAATGATTCACTTCACAATAATAATCTTGCCAGTCAATGTGGACACATTATTATAATTTTTCGCCTCATGATTATAATCTTGTCAGTCGATGTTTTAAAACATTATTTTTATTTCACCTCAAAATTATAATAATTATTCTTACTTTTAACAAGTATAATCTTGTTTGTCCAAGCGAACACATTATTTTTATTTCGCTTCAATTTCATAAGAATTTTATTCCACATCGATCATACAATTATAATCTGTCCTACTCCAACAATAATAATCGCGACCAAAAAAGTTGAAACATTATCATTATTTAGACGCTTGAAATCAAACGTTTGTGTGATTTTGATGTACAGAACAATTATAATCTTGACTTCAATTTTTGGGAAAGATTATTATTTGGACGCTTGAAAAAGTAAACGTTTGTCTGCCGAAGAAAATCACGTAGTTAAAGGCCATGTGCTTCCCAATGAACAGTGCCCAGTGCGCGGCCAGGGAAAGGCAGGCGGTTTGCCGGTAAGTAAAGATGATTTTGTTATATTAATGTACAAATAAGTGAATTCTATTCATTCGATAAAGGAAATGTCTCAGAAATCAGCTGTCAGTATGGTGTTATTGAACGACAGCTTCGGAAGAAGCCAGTTTGAATTATCTCTGTACTTTTGTATTGGAGAATGAGATTGAATCAATACATGCCATTGCATTGTGAATTTATGTTTCATATGTAGATTAAATGGTATATCTTTCAGAACAGTTTACTCGTATTTTACAGTTTAGCTTGAATTTTCTCTGCAGTAAGCCATTTACATTGAGTCTTACTGTTTGTCTTGATTTTCTGATTCTATTATTGGACCAAAACTTTTCTCTTAATATGACAGCAAACACCTATGTTTGTTTGTTGTTTAACACAGGCATGGATCCAGACATTTTCCCGTAAACTCACCCAAACTTCAAAAACCTATTTCGTGTTGGGTGGGTGGGTAGGGGTGGGGGCGGGTGGGTGGGTAGTTGATGACTTCTAATGCTCTAATGCTTCAAACCTTTGAATTTTCAGTCCAATTTTACACAAATTCGCATTTACCAGGGAGTTCTGCATTTTCTGAGGGGGGGGGGGAGGGGTCCTAAGTAACTCTTTTCTTGCTTTAGTACAGGTGACTCTCGATGGCTCAAACTCCGATCTCTCGAAGTTCTCGATCTCTCGAAGTGAACCTCCGGTCTCGTTTTTTTCTTCTATATAACTAAGCAAATTTACTCCTGATCTCTCGAACTTCTATCTCTCGAAGTTCTCTCTCGAACCAAAACCTGGGTCCCGTTACACATATTTCATTGAATTTTACTCTCTATCTCTCGAAGTTTTGATTGCGTGTGTATGTACAAGCCAATCAAGCGTAAAATTGATGCAGCCTAAACTTACCTGGAAAACAGTGAACGCCTGGGGCTTGGCATAGAGGTGTTAATTGGGTGTTTACGTAGATGACACTTCACCTTTGGGTAGTCCGAGTGTTGATATAATTAATTGATTATTATTGGTAAATTATAAACTGTTTTTTAAATTCACAACTTATTTTGACTTGAAAACGAGACGACAATTTTTAGAAAATAATTTATAGTCAAATCGATAAGTTCCCATACGCTATGAACTTTTATTACCGTCGACATAATCCCAGTATGGTAAATATTGCACAAGAAATTCCTTTCTGAAGTACTAAATACCGATTAAGAAAAATTTTGTGAACATTGGTGAACAGGTGAAGGACCCGATCAAGCCACGGAATAGTCAAACCTACAATTGCTATTCGGATTTCATGTAATTATTAAATAAGAACAAATAAGTATTGAAACTTTAAGAATTCGTTTTATTTAGTCGAAGTACGATCATTGTTGTTGATATCAAGTAAATATTACCTGTAAAATACGATAGAAAACGTGCAATGACTTTATTTACATATACTTCCGGTATTTATAAAAGTAGAACTTCGATGAACGGAACTGAGAATTCCGGTTTTATTTACTTTCTATCTCTCGAACCCTTCGATCTTTCGAACTTTTCTTGCGGTCCCTTGAACTTCGAGAGATCGAGAGTCACCTGTATATAAATTTGATAACCTTGCAAATTCCTTGAGGGGATCTTCCCTCCCCTCTCTAGATCCGTGCATGGTTTAACGACCCTGTCGAGACTTTTTCACTCATACGGAGACGCCACCACTTATCAGTGGAGAGCTGCAAGTTTTAACTAATACTGAGGGCCATTGAACAATGAGGGATCAGCACCTTCTGTGACATGGGGCCTTGATTTATACAGTTTCATCCTAAAGACCTGACTCCATGTCCCACAGTGGGATTCGAACCCAAAACAAAGGATCAACTCCTTTCTCTGCAACTCTAAGAGCAAACACTCTGACTTCTGCTCCACATGGGCGACCCTATGTTTGTTATCAAGAGCGATGTTATTGTTAAATTTTACAATTTACTGGGTATATTCAAATAACTACCAATAAACTGCACCATTAATCACTAAACACAATCAGGAATCACTCTTGTGTTGGATTTGTTTTAAGCTAACCTGCTCAATGATTAAAAAAAAACAAACAATTTTCAATTCTCTGTTTTTAGCTCTACTGGTCAGAGACCAGAAGAGCCTATGCGATAGTAATGCGTCCGTCGTCCGTCCGTCCGTCCGTCTGTCTGTCTGTCCGTCTGTCTGTAAACAATTTTTCAAAATGCTACTCCTCCTACAGTTTTGGTCTGATTTCAATATAACTTGGCACACAAGTAGACTACACTAAGGTACATAATTCTATGTATCAGTTTTTCACTTCAATGAATGGTGTTGCCATGGTTACTAAATGTAGAAATTTCTGTTAAATACTCTCAAAATGCTACTCCAAATACAGTTTTAGTCTGATTATAATATAATGTGGAATGCAAGTAGACTACATTAAGAACATAAAGAGACTTAATCAAGGATCATTATTCTATTTATTGCTGAAAAGTTTCAACTTCCAACTGCTTAAGTACTTTTCTCTTCCTATGCTATAAGTACAAACCAGTAGAGCTTCAGTCTCGACAGAGACTTCTGGTTCAATTCACGGCCATTAAAAGAGTCAGTTGACAAATATTAAATATGAAACATGTCAAAATTTCTGGAATTCTACATTTTTTTGTTCAATCATCAGTCACCATGAGAAATAGAAAGTATGCTGTAGTTTTTTTAAAGAATTATTTGCACATGTACTTTTAATTTTAGGAGCAGCAAATTAAAGTCTTGATTTTTAGAGGCATGCAGGTTTTTAAGAAAGAAAACAGTGTTGTAAAGAAAGAAAAAGATTTTCAACTCAAAGAACTGCAGATGACACAGAGGTAAAAAGAACATTAATGGTAAGAAAAAATTAGGAAATTGTATATATTTATTAATGTAAAACTTTCCAAGTACCTGTTACATTTTCTTAACCCCCTTCCCCCCATGGATAAATCTGCCACTGGTATTATTTAGAGTACGAGTTTCCTACTGTATCTGAGATACAGGGCGTGGCTTGAGGCGAGAGCGATAGCTCGAGCCGGGCCCCGCCCTGTATCTCCGATACAGTAGGAAACGAGTATTCTAAATGACTTGTCACATGACCTTTCTCATGACCTCACTAATTTACATGCGTATTTGGGTACATATCACTCGACCAATCAGATGATTTTGCAGAAAGTTGATTTAGTATCCCATTTTAAGCATTCGCAACTGAAATGCCGAGTGAGGTGGACGTGCAGGTATTTATCATTTTAAAATAATTATTTAGGGGATGCATAATGTAATTTGTTCTAAAAAAAAATTAATTTAGATTTCATTACGTAGTGGTTTTTTTTTCTCTTTTCAGCTTTTGCTGACATTTTTTTTAAGCCACGACTTAATTAATGCAAAACATTTTGATATATAAGAATCATGCAGAATATTATTGAAACAAAAATGCTTCGTGGAGATGAAAGGACGGGGACCCACCCATATTTAACTTCATGTTTTTAATAAAATGTAGTGAAACCAAAGGGGATCCGAGCAATCACTGAGCCCCCCCCCCTCCACCCTCCTTGATTTTTTTTTTCGCTTTCGTAAATGATTTTTGGTAAACTTGTATACATACGCTTTTTAATTTATCAACAAGTAACGATATCAAGCACATAGTGTCTTGGTTGGTTATAAATCTAACCCCACGAAATAAGATTTCCACTGATTTTTTTTTTTGGGGGGGGGGGGCAGGGGGGAGGGTGTTCAAAGTAATCAGTTGTGAACTGCCCCACTCCTTCTTTTCTTAAATTTTTGAATCCGACACTGATAAATTTACGTTGTAAAATTTTATTCTTAATTCACCTCAAATTTTTAGTAAATACTAACAGTGCTATCATGCGAATTGAACCATTTTGTGTCTGTCTATACAGATACAGCTTTCAGTCATGGCAAAAATATAACGTACTGTATCGTTGATATTTTGAAGATACAGTACAGTTTCTGCTCATTTGCATAAGAAACGCCCACAAAAAGTGTTCTGTATCGCAGTTACAGTATGCTTGACTTCAAAGAAAACCTCACCGGGTCATGTCACAATGAGATTTATATTTTTATTTAATTTATTCTGCAGAAATATATTGGTATGTTTAGAACAGAGAGTCATCTACTTTATAAATAATTATTTACAATTTAGCTTTCCTAACCTGAGTCTAATGCCCTGTTCACATTGAGAGTTTAATTCGAATAAAACCTAACTGCAAATTAAATTTGCACAGCATTCACATGGAGAATTTAATGCGAATAAGTTTAATTTGAATTAATTTACTTTGTATTAAATTACTTCGCATTAGCTCCGTGTGAACGCTAATCAAAGCTAATTCGAATTAAATTTTGACACATGCATAAGGCCTGAATTAAGTCACAGGCCGCATGTCAATAGTTAGATTTAGGTATTACAGTGAATTAAACTTTCCTTGTGAACAGGGCATAAGGCTCAAGTAAACTACAGGGCATAAGGCTCAAGTAAACTTTAACGATTAAGAAATGTCTTGTATTTGTTTATCATACATAATAGGGGATTCCCAGGGTTAGGATGGGGCCAAAATGGAAAAGTTTTACACAAGAATACAAAGAAAACATCATTAGAAATCTTCTAAGGCCATGATTAGTCAAAGAAATAGAAAGCATCATCGATTGGTGTAGATTTAAGCTTGTTCAAATCATGCCTGCTTCCCCTTCCTTTAAGATCAGTTTGGGCCCAGTATGAATTATTACTTTTCAACACTGAAAACCAAAGGGCTAAGGTGAGCAATGTGACCCATGGGTCTTTTATTTGACCTCCGTCACTTCTGTGCAAAATATCCTAGTGTTTGTTCATTTTGCAGGGTTTTTTTGTTGCCCCATACGTTGCCAGTAAAGATGCGAACTATAAAATTGTCAAAAAAATTGTCAAAAGAAGTTTTAATTAAATATTTTTTTTAAAATCCATGCAAGTTACAAAAGATATTGTGAGAAAATTTTGAGGGTTTTTTTTGATAAAGGGAAATATCTCTTGCAAATAGACATTTTTTTTATTCATGTAAGAATTTAATGCCAGGTCTGTTCACACAAGAAAAACCCTGTTTGCTGTCACATTGGGAGCCCTCCACTTGTCATACTTATCATGGTAATAATTTTCCATTCAATCAAGTTTTACCATGATTATGTGTCTCAACGATGATTATGAAAACTCTTATTGTGTTTTTAATGTTATTTTCAGGGTTTAGGAACCATAAATTCGATGTTGGAGTTTGAACTTCACCTTGATAGACTTTGAGCACATCATATTAAGTTTTAGACCTAAGGACGAAATCTTGCAGTTGGAAGATAAGGAAAACACAGCCGTGATAAATATCAGAGAAATCTCCTTAGAAGAGTGCGCCGTTCTGGACAAAAAGTTGCAATGTGAATAACTTGGAAGAAAGAAGAGTCTTGGCAAATTAGAGAATTCTTGATGAAAGATTGCATGTGTTGTTCCTGTTGTTCCATGAACTTTTTCCTTTTAAAATCATTTAACACTTCATTTAAAGTGATGCATTTTTGATACATTTTCATTATTGAAATATTTACATTTGATACTCTGTTTAACCAATGGGCCAAGATGTGGAATCGTTGTCCAATAGGGTAGATTCAAGTTTGTACAAATCATAACCCCCTGGGTGTAGAGTGGGGCCACTGAAAGTTCAAACTTTTAGGGAAAAAAAGGCCACAATCAAAACTATATAGGCATCCTTATTTAGTGTAGGTTCAATTTAGTCAAATAATACCCCTCCCTTTTAGGGATAGGTCAGGACCACTTAGGCCTAAAATAAAAATTAGTTTGTTTGCAGTTGCCTACCGACCCACTGAAAATGCACCCGACCCAAAACTTTCTTTAGCCATTTTGTAATTAATTTTTTTTTTTAATTTTTCATAATATTGAAACTGTTTTATTTTCAAATTATGACTTGTTTTTCTCAATAAGTGGTTTGTAACAAGAGTGGAGCTTACTCATGTTTAGTAGGCCTATGAAAACATAGAAAAGGTCTATTATTTGTTATGTAACAAAAATCCTATAAAAAAAAAAGAAAAGAATCCCGACCTACCTACCCAGTCTAAAAATTATAAGTCAGCAACTGCAAACAAAGAATTTTTTAAGCTTGGCCTTATGCATTTAAGTTTTTCAATACTTAACTGATTTTTGCCTTTTACTTAATAGCCACAGTGCTCAGGTAAACCAGTTGGTCCCTGAGTCTCTTGTTAAATCTGTATATATATTTACCAAAATATTGATGCATTTGCTAATTGAATATTTTGCAATTAGATTTTATTTATTTTTCCTGAAAGTAATTTGCACATACAGTATATTTTATTCAAAGTTGTCTGGTAATGATTATTGACTTACCCATTTGAAGACAAGAGGTACATTATTAAATTTTAATATTTACTCAAAATTGAAAATAAAGACCAAATATTGTCTCTCAAGATATTGATGGGAGAGATAGAATTCACTAAAATAATATGGATATTAAATTGTGATGATTTTTTTGTGATGTTCTTTTGGACTTGAATGACAAACATGTAATGGAAGGCATGTTGGAAAAGTTGGAGCTCTGTCATATACATGTGGTAATTGTAGACCCAAATGCTGTTCACCAACATTGGAAATACATGCTCAAAATATGGGAGCTTCTATATGGCCTATATACTGTTTACAGGGTTATTTTCGCCCCATGTTACTTTTGCCCTTTTGAACTTATGAACAATTTTACCCCGTTTTAAATTCGCCCAGTCATAGTTCTGTTGAAGGAATTATGAGGTGTAATTTGAATTTGCCCGTTTTAAATTCGCCCAATCAAGGAGAGGGCGAAAGGGGCGAAAATTTCCCTGTATACAGTACTTTATGTGTACTAAAAATAGCGGGCTTCATATTTGTGTCTGATAATCTGTAAACTATATGTATACACATGACTTTTAATGAGTTACGCAGTACCTTCACATACATGTACTTGACCTTGAGAAGGAATTCACACTCAAATCTCATACTTCACATATTTATTTTTTGTGGCAAGTCCTTTTATTGGATACCAAATACCTTGACCTTTTGACCTTGACCTTAGATATTTCAGGACTGATGAAAAACATTAACCTTGGCAATAACTTTTGAAGAATAAGGGCTAGGGCTTTTTTACTTCACATGTGTATTTCCGTAATAAGACCTTTAATTCAATACCAATAACCTTGAGCTTCTGACCTGGAAACCCTAGCCCTAACCATTCATAAGTTATTGCTAAGTTTTTTTCATAAGTCTGGAAATCTCCAAGGTCAAAAGGTCAAGGTTACTGGTATCCAATAAATGATCCTGCCACAAAGAATACATATGTGAACTATGGAAGCTCTAGCCTTAACTGTTTAAAAGTTTTGGTTAGTTTTTTTTAAAAAGTTGGTCAAACTCTAAGGTCAAAGGTCTTCGTATCAAATGATAGGTCTTGTCACAAGGATTAAAAAAATATACATGAAAGCACTAACTCTAACCCTTTAAAAAATTTGGTCAAGGTTTGTTTTTTAAAGTAGGTCAAACTCAAAGGTGAAAGGGTCAAAGCCCTTGGTATCTAATGAATGGTCTTCTCACAAGTATTGCATGTCTGAAGTAGGAAAGCTCTAGCCCTTACAATTAAAAGGTTACTGCGAGGTTTAAGTTTTTTGAGCACACCTGATTTGAAGGCTCAAGTAAGCTTTTCTGATCACATTTTGTCTGGCATCCATTTGTCTGTAAACTTTTCACATTTACAGTTTTACATAGAAATATATAGGAAAATTCTTTAAAAATCTTCTTAAGAATAGCAAAGCCATGATTGGTCAGGAAACTACTTCTGGATGTAAACTTTTCAATAATAAACCAATTTCTACTTTTTCCTAGCCACAGTGCTCAGGTGAGCGATGTGGCCCATGGGCCTCTTGTCATTAGTATGTAAATCTCCGAGGTCATAATCAAAAGGTCATTGTTGGTGGTACATGTATGACAAATGAGAGATCTAAACACAAGGAGTACATATGTGAAATATGAAAGTCATAGCTCCTCTAAATCAAAAGTTATGGGCAAGGTTAAAGTTTTTGCGGACAAACAGCTAGACAGACCGAGACACGACAAAAACTATATACCCCCGAAACTTCATTTACGAAGGCATGAAAACATAAGCACAAAGCAAGACTCAAGTTATTAATTTATTATATTGTTTCTGGCATAAACAAGAGAAAAATGAAATATCTCTAAATTCCAGTCTTATCAGTGTCCTGTTTGTGTGGGATTTTTACCTGCCATTACATGTTAACATATCAGTATTCTGCATTGCTAATCTTGAAATGCCTAAAAACTGGACTATGCTCTCTCAAATTAGATAAACCATCAAGTCAAAAGCTTATAGGCTCAGTGTTGCGGAACAAATAATACAGAATTAAGATCTGACAGTCTATAAATCCATCTGAATATAAACAATTCTTTCTCCCACTTCAGATCCTTTTCTTTCCAACAAACTTCTTTTCAAAGTGGGTTATGACATCCTTCATAGGAAGAACTGAAATATAAAAATATCATTATACCACCTGATTCATGAAGAATTAAATAACACATAACAAGAGGCTCATGGGCCACAATGCTCACTTAGGTCACTTGGTCCTGGTGTTCTGCAGAATTTAAACAAGTAAAGAACGGAATTGTCAAAGCTTCTCAGGTGAGCGACGTGGCCCATGGGCCTCATGGGCCACATCGCTCACCTGAGAAGCTTTGACAATTCCGTTCTTTACCAGATTTCCCCCTTCAGTCTTGTGATACATATTGTTACCCCACCATACCCAACTGATCATAATGTAGATAATTTGAAATCTACACTATCATAGGATCCTTTGATTCCCCATTGTAAAACTTTGATTCCCTATTATGGCCCGCCCTACCCCCGGAGGTCATGATTAGAACAATTTAGATCTACACTACTCAAGGATGCTTCCACATAAGTTTTAGCTTTTCTGGTCCAGTGGTTCTTGAGAAGATTTTTTAATGACCCCACCCTATTGTTGTCTTTTCTTGATTATCTCCCCTTGTGAGGGAACTTGGCCCTTCATTTTAACAATTTGAATTCCCCTTCAACCAAGGATGATATGTACCAAGTTTGGTCAAAATTGGCCCAGTGGTTCTTGAGAAGAAGTTAAAAATGTGAAATGTTTACAGACGGACAGCTAGACAGACAGACAGACGGACGGACAACGAACAAAATGTGATCAGAAAAGCTCACTTGAGCCGAAGGCTCAGGTGAGCTAAAAAATGTTCCTTTTTTCAATGAAAAATGACCCAATATTGTGGCCTCACCATAGCATAAATATTAAACGGGTTTACTTAAAGCAATATGAGCTGCTTGTTTGACAATTTTATTGCAAAATTGTAATTAACTAATTTAATGACAGAAAAATAAATCATTTATAAACTTCTGTTGTTCATTATTGCTATGGAAAATTTTTCATTAGCTTTGATTTAAGCAAAATTGATTTATTGTCGTCCTGTACAATAATGATTTCTTATATAAAACTGTATATTTGGTTGAAAAGAAATATTTCTTCTGAAACATTTTAAACCTTATTTTGGGCTTATTGGTCATAGGGGTTTAAATTATCTACAAATTTATCATAAAAGCACATTTGACCAGCAAAATAAAATTTTCAAAGATACAGCTCATATTGCTTTAAAGTTAATAACATGTCCTACTGTCCTTCTATCACACTTTGAACTCCACATGCTGATATATATTAATAAGAGTAACTCCACTGCATGAACATTTCTGACCTTGACCTCAATTTTCTTAACTTTATGTTAAGTTCTGTATCAAAAGTTGTTTCATATATTTTTATCAAACCTTAGATATGTGCAGATACATATTGACGGGATCTATTCAACTTCATAATCATTATTTTACTTGATCTTTCCTTTGACCTTGACCTTTCTTTAAATTAGTGAGTATAGCTTAGTTTTAAAGAAACTATTCAAGAGACTTTGGTTTATCTTCATATGCTTAAACTATATACATTGATAAGAGCTATTCAGTTGCATGAACATTTTTTATCTTGACATCTCTAAAATTTGTGTTAAGCTTTAAATTTTAAAGAAATTATCTAACATATTTTATATATTAAAGTTTTATACGGTGAACATTTTGAATAGCGTTTTCAAACTGCAACAAAAAAACTGCCACTGTGTTAAATAATTTCTTATTTCTTTCTAACCATTAATGTCCTTTTTACCTTTGTGTCATTTACAACTATTTTTAGTGGAAAACTTCTTCTTTCTTTACAACACAGTTTTCTTTCTTTAAAACCTGCATGCCTATAAAAATCAAGACTCTTTGTTGCTCCTGAAATTGAATGTGCAAATAATTCTTTAAAAACTAGAGCATAATTTGTATTTCTCATGGTGACTGATGATTGAACAAAAAAATGTAGAAATTCTCATATTTAAAATCTACTAACTCCTAAATGGCTTTTATGCTGTGACTTTAAAAACACCCAGAGGAAATCTAATTAAAATTAGATCCCCTCACATACACTAACATCTAGTAACAACATCCCACAGAGGGTCATGTCAGAGGTCAGATTCTATCATCCAATCAAATTGTTGCCTGCAAAATCATTGTATATTTGTTGAAGCGAATAAGTCTACAGTTGTCCCAAATTGGACCTCTGACGTGACCTTCTATGGGATATTGTTAGATGTTAGTGTAGCAAGTATGAGAGCGAATCTAACATTTAACTTCAACTTCCAGTAGATTGACCCAGAGGTGAACATACTATAAAATTACATATTTTCCTGGGTTCAAACTTCGTGGTTTGATGAAAAATCTTGGTTCCTGGGGATTTGATTTTGTGGATGAAAAATTGTTGGGTAGTTTTATATGTAACAATTTACAGTTTGTGGTGGACATGAATTTGTGGGTCTCTCCACACCTCGAAAACAACGAAAATTACACCCCAACGAAATTTGTGATTATACAGTAAATGTGCATGTTCATACCCCTTTATAATAAATGAAAAAGGCTGTCTTTTACCTGGAACTTTTTGTACCATCCCACAGCAGCTCCTTTCCTCAACTTATGCATAATCTGCAACATAACAGTTGTTTAATAAAAAAATGTTTTCATCCAATCATAGATAAAATCAGCCAATGAAGACAATAATTTTCATCAATAGTCAGACTTTTAACTTCAAGTTTTTTGTTTGTTTTTATGTTGTTTAATGTTCCTCTCAAAAATGTTTTCACTCATATGGAGACGCCACCATTTGCTGGTGGAGAGCTTCAAATTTATTCTATACTCAGCAATTATGGCCATTGAACACTGAGGGACCTTTTTTGAGCCAGCACCTACATAGGACCTCGGTTTATACCATTTTATCTGAATGTAGTAGTCCTGGAAGTGCTAGCCACTGATTGTCTTGCTATCTCTGATCACATGGTATATGTCACCACTTGCTTCCTATCATCGCACTCTTTTTCCGTTACCGGGTGCAAAGTACAGACATGTCTTTTCAGCTCCATCAATATTGTGTATTGGATATAAAATGCAGTACACTGCGGTCACTAATAAATCTCAATTGTGTTATTTAACCATTGTGTTTTCTGTTTTCTGCCATCAACACATTCGGATATAATATATCTTATGTTATACGTGTTATATGAAGAACTGGTCTCCATGTCCCACAATGGGATTCGAACCCATGACACAAGGATAACTCCTGACTTTACTAAGTCTAATACAGTCTAAAACGGGCGACTCAACTGACCCGAGTCTCAATGTTAATAACAATAGATCTCAATGTAAATAACTTACTTCAGAGAAAATTCAAGTTAAAACTGTAAAGTGTACAAGCTATTTAGCCTAATAGTAAACTAAAGGAATGTCTGTTAGTAAATATATATACACTATATCATTTAATTTAACGCCACTTAATCTACATTTGGAACATAAATTCATAATGCAATGGCATGCATTGATGCAACCTCAATCTCCAATACAAAAGTACAGAGATAATTCGAACTGGCTTCTTCCGAAGCTGTCGTTCAATAACACCATACTGACAGCTGATTTCTGAGACATTTCCTTTATCGAATGAATAGAATTCACTTATTTGTACATTAATATAACAAAATCATCTTTACTTACCGGCAAACCGCCTGCCTTTCCCTGGCCGCGCACTCGGCACTTCGTTGGAAAGCACATGGCCTTTAACCACATGATTTTCTTCGGCAGACAAACGTTTACTTTTTCAAGCGTCCAAATGATAATAATCTTTCCCAAAAATTGAAGTCAAGATTATAATTGTTCTGTACATCAAAATCACACAAACGTTTGATTTCAAGCGTCTAAATAATAATAATGTTGCAACTTTTTTGGTCGCGATTATTATTGTTGGAGTAGGACAGATTATAATTGTATGATCGATGTGGAATAAAATTGGCATGAAATTGAAGCGAAATAAAAATAATGTGTTCGCTTGGACAAAAAAGATTATAATTGTTAAAAGTAAGAATAATTATTATAATTTTGAGGTGAAATAAAAATAATGTTTTTAAACATCGACTGACAAGATTATAATCATGAGGCGAAAAATTATAATAATGTGTTCACATTGACTGGCAAGATTATTATTGTGAAGTGAATGATTATAATTGTAGGACAAAATAATAATAATGTGTACACATTTAACAAACAAGATTATAATTGTTGCAGGAAAATAATAATAATGTTGTAAAAAGCAAGTTTGGATGAGATAATTATTTTTGGTATATTATATAGGAAAAAAATAATAATAATGTGGGGGTACCCTAAGGCTTTCCATAAGTACGTGTAATAAGCTATTATTTTAAATAAGACCAATTACTAATTGGCATTCAATTTTGAACCATCAGTGGAAAAGCTCATTGTTATTGACACATGCATGTATATGTTTCTTTAGCATTTGACCTATGAAATGTTTGGTCACCCCAAATGCTATTGAAATGAGAACTGTTTTTGTTTATCATAATTACAATTGCCTAAGATAAATGTTATTCAGTAACATGTAGGACATGTACAATTAAACTTTTCTTTTATACTTATGTGAGATGGAAAAAACGCAATTCAGAAACCTTAGCCTTCCATCACAATAAACGCACTAAGGCAGGCAACTAATAATTAATCGACAGCAACCAATGACCCAACATCAGTCAATCTATGTCGTTCCAAGTTATATATACTGAATGGGTAAAATATATCTCATATGTACTCAAACCATTAATTCATTTGTCCAGAAAGGAATGATACATGTAACAATAAAAATAATTAAACGTCAAACAGTGAAGAACGTTAACGCGGTAGCTCGCATGTGTTTCTCATAGTCTAAGTCTAATTTTGATCATCTTTTATTGTTAAGTCTTGTTTATATAAGAAAAATGAAATTGGATAACATGGTCTCATTTCAAGAATTAAGATTCTTTTTTCTTTGGTTTTTTTTTTTTTTTTTTTTTTGTTATTGTCTTTTTTTTCGCTTTTTTTTCATTTAAGAACCTTTTCTTATCAAAAAAAATGTAGATAAATATTTCTCTTTTTCAGTTTGCCCTGGTGGTTGGCTGCCTTTTGATGGCCATTGTTATCTTTTCAGTAAAACCGCAAGCTCCTGGAACGATGCAAAGGTACATATTATATATTGTAAAAGCATGTAATATATTTTACAAAAACATGTATAATATATGTTTTTTTTAATTATTAGCATATTGTAAAAAGCTACGCAGGTTTGTTAAGGCAGCACACGGATCAGACTTCGACGAATTAACACTTTTTTTTATTAATATGTAACATTAATTCACCTGAAAAATCATGAATAAAACTTTTGCTATCTTAATGCATTCTAAAGACTTCAATTGAACTTAAAATACAGGAAGTACAACACCACGACGTCACCACGTGCCGTCTATAATAAGAAAACACTGCCCCAGGGATAATTAATTTCAATTGGTATTTATAGTTTTGTAAAACATCCAGTATCTAGAAAAGTGGTGATAGAATGGGACTGTTCTATTACAGAAATGATTATTCAAAACTTTCGGACAAAACCTTCCCAAATTTTTTTTACATTTTGATCATGAGATCGAAAAAATGCATCGATTTCCGCTAAGCATACGATTCTAGTAGCACTTTCCAAAAACAAAAGAATAAAAACGTTAGAGAGAAACAAAAATTAAGTTTCAAAGTATGCGGCGTAGTGTTAAAATTTTTCAGCTTTTTTGTTACGACCGAAAGAGGAAAGGCTAATCAGCAAGTAAATACACTGTCTGCTGTTGTTGTACGAAGAAGTTGTAGAATTATATTGACATACCCTATTCATAAGCTTTATTCCCATATGAATCACATATGCTATTCATTCTAAATGCTTTTAAACTCCGATTTCCTGTGTTTTGTGGACATGAATTATCGTAACGTTTCACTGTCACTCTGCTAATACTGATCAAGAGTTATGACGTTATGACAGGTATCGTATATAACCCCTATAATAAATACATAGACCCAGACACCATTTATATTTTGCCTCTGCATATTCATTTTTTCGACCTCAAATCATACTTATGTACCGATTTTTAAGAAATTGTCATCTTTAAAGTTCACGTCATGTAGCTTACTTTGACGTCATATCATATAGGCAAGGAAAAATATTTGGTATAAACCTTAACATACCTGCTTAAATAACATTGTTAAACATACATGTATATGGCATATGTATTACATATTTTAAAAACATGTACAACCTTATGGAAAAATATGTCTAACATTTATTACACACTTAGTAATAAATACAGATTTTTTGCATATGCGATATGGCTGACGTCACAATAGCCGTATCAACCCTGCAGGGCTGATATGGATTTGCGGGGCTGATATCCGTATCAGCCCTGCAAATCCATATCAGCCCTGCAGGGCTGATACGGCTATTGTGACGTCAATATCACACCCTTAGTAAATTAAACCACAATAACAGCACTTGTACTCATACACAATTTTTGGTGGGTTCATATTCTCTTAATTTTAACTTTTTGAAAATAAGGTTAATCTTAATTTACAAATACATGTAATACTATAGAATATTTTCAAATTACGGATCAAGTGCATTGAAATAGAAATAGAAACAAACCCAAATCTTATGAGACATTAGACTATGTACATGTATGTAAGAAGTCCATGCATGATTATTTACTTATTTTCTTCTCAACTGTATTTTATTACTAAGTATGTAATAAATATAATAAAACATACCCTTTTCCATATCACATCCTGTATCAGCCCTCGACCAATATCAGCCCTCGGGCCTTCGGCCCTCTGGCTGATATTGGTGTCTCGGGCTGATACAGGATGTGATATGGAAAAGGGTATGTATTATTCTCTATGTACCGGCATAAATTATTGTTAAAATATATTAAAAATATATATATATATCTAAAATGTTGTAAAAGTATTTATAATATAATTAAAACATCCACAAAATATTGAGAAAAAAACTTTTCAGAAAAACCTCAATTTGATTTTCAATAGGTTTCCTTTGCTCAACACTTTCCCAGCTAAACTCACATGTATCTACAATGTATTGAATCATCGGATAAACACTTATTTATTTTTAAGTCTAAAACTTCGATGTAACGGTGATATCTCGAAGTGTTCAAAACATTTTCGATGAAATTATAAGTTAAGTGAAACTCTTTTTAACTAATCAGCGTTTTCTTAAAAAAATTGAGAAATCAAACTTAATGATGCATAAATCTCAACTGCTTATTCTCCATGCAATTTTATGGTTACGCAATTAGTATTATGATAACAGCACTATGTGTTTTAAATTCCCTATCCAACAAAACAAATGAATGATAATTGAGGGGTTTTTTTTCATGTTAGGAAAATTGTGAAAAGAAAGACGCCTTTCTGGTAGAAGTGAACACACTAAAGGAAAACGATTTTCTTCAAAAAACCTTCCTAGATATCGATTACAGCAGTAAGTTATTTTTTTTATTGTTTGGGTAATGAAGATTTGTATTTATAATTATGTTATTTCCTAGGACATCTACTTGTGATTTGTGTTTAGTTTTCATTAATATCTATTTCTCTGTAAAATACGCTAAGAGATAAATAAAATTAACGTATCGCCAGCTGTCAATCACAACAATATTTCAACCAATCAAATAATTTTGTTTATTCTGCGCCTTCAGTTTAAACTCTTGCTCCGACAAACACTCGCAGAAGGTAGGTTGAGTAGTAGGTAAACAAATTGAATAAATAAGTCCATTAACATAAAATGATGTAGTTGGGGAAAGTGTAACACCGACGACAGGTATCCCAACGGGAATTATGGATGTTTTGGGACCGCGATGATTCGGGACACCGACCTTTCGGGACCTGACAACACGTTTCTGGACTTGGATTAATTGATTGATTGATTGTATATTGTTTAATGTCCCTCTTGAGAATTTTTCACTCATATGGAGACGTCAACGATGCCGGTGAAGGGCTTCAAATTTAGACCTATACTCGGCACTTAGGGCCATTGAGCAGTGAGGGTTCTTTATCGTGCCAACGCCTACCGTGACACGGGACCAACGTTTTTAAGGTCATATCCGAAAGACCCGTGACTTTCACTTCTAGTGCCGAGCGCTTGGCGAAGGAACAGTCACTACCTATGTTTACGTCTTAGGTATGACGCGACGCCGCGATCGAGAATCGAACCCGGGCCTCCCGATCACGAAGCGAACGCTCTACCACTAGGCTACCGTGACCGGTCACTTGGATTAACACGTTCCTTTCAGTCAAAAAAATGAAACAAAATTTGATTACTTGTTTTTTATGTTTATGTAATGAGAGTACCAAATCCCCGGATGAGCACATGGCATTGTTTGTGGCAGAATGTAGAGTCGAGTACTGAATAGGTCTGCATTACCTGATTGGCTGAAATGAGGTATGTACTGTTTTTCATTTTAAAGTAAAAATATTAATATTTGAAATAAATGATGGAATGTAGGAATATTACAGAGAATATAGAAATACCAGGGGAGATTGTAGGAGTGGGGGTTGATTTTTTTTGCAGAGCGTTATTTACTGCCGATACCTATAAGTTTTAAAGAACTGCAATTTTGACCTATAAACGCCATGGGACCCTATATTTTTTCCGGGATTTTTTATAAGCGCTTGGATTAAAGTTTCAAACGATGCCAAGGA